TACTAAAGACTCCTAAATTACACACTGTAAGTGTGTGAATTTCATTACATGCAAATCCATTTCAACAAAACAAGAGATGACGCAGCTATTAAAGGCTAAGGCTAACAGCCAAAACGTCAAGAATAAGTCAAATTTCCAACATGCATTCCAGATACGTTTTGTTGACAAAAACCTTTCACTTCCGTGGCCCACTCCCCAAACTCTAGACTCTGCCTATTAAAGAGAAGAACATTAGTCAAACTCCAGGTGAGGTATGTTTTATAAAATATCTGATAGACTCCTCAGAATTGTCAAGGCCATATATAAAAGGAAATACAAAGAAACTTTCAAAGCCCGGAGGAATCTAAGTAAAGGTTAATAATTAAACATAATGTGATGCCCTAGATAGAGCAGCTATACTTCCATTGCAGCTGTGTCTTTCCTAGAAATGGAGGCCAAACACTGTACAGAGTGTCACATAGCCTGGTCATAAAATAATGGCTTTTGTAATGGTGTCCAGGTCTTGCTAGGGAGCGAGTAGCTCCACAATGCATGGCCTACAGCTGGAACTTGTTTGCTCTGCTCTATTCACAGACTTCTACATCGTCACACACTAAATCACAGGGCCATTCTTTCCACCTCTATTTACCTTAACATTTTAGTATAGATGTTACTTGGGCCAGAAACCTAACCATCCCTCAACCCAAATTCAGACCAGCTACCCTCATAGCACTAGCTCTGTTCTAACCTTTATCACAGTGCATCCGACTTCAGGTAATGGAGGCGTCGGCCGTATTTCCCTGGAAGGCAGTAAAATCTTCAAAAGCCAGCACATCTGTGCATAATATAGATGCAAGTGAGAAATTTAGAATGAACTAGAAGGATCTATCTCAGTTAAAAATATGCTATAAGATCATTTTCTCCCAACAGTGTCATGTTTCAGAAGACATTCAAGACTTGGGGCAGAGTCTGTAGTAAATAAGTGGTCCTTTCTATTACTATACACTCACTACCCTGGCCAAAGAAAAAGATAAATTAATGCTTAACAACAGTGGCCCAATTCCAAACCTCCATTATTTTCACTTTATCCAGCATAATGAATAACACCACAAATAAAACTTTGATAACCACAGTGAAATTAATTAGGCGTGAAGGCAGTCTCCAGGGTATTTTCTTTGTAGGCTCCAGACAATGGTGCTACTAAAACCTTGTACTTCAGAGATGATTAAACATGATCAAGGATATTTTAAATTAATTAAAATAATTATAAGATTAAATATATTCTCTATCATCTCATGGGAAACACAAGGTCCTCTTAGTCTTAGAAACATCATATTCATTTCATTTTCGATCCTTAAAATTCTCTTAAATGTGTTTCAATCAAAAAGCTTAAATGTGGTAAGATCTTAGCTTACTAGTTCATCTGACCTATTTTTAAGAGGAGTTACTTTTGAACACTAAAGCATAAGATCTTTGCAAAAGTCTTCCAACAATAGTTTGGGGTATTAAACCTCAAGTGAATCATGGTTACAAAGTCTAAAGTAATTCATTCTGTTTGAGTTTATTCACCTTTTTCTAAGGAGTGCTTTATGTCACATACTGTACTAAATTCTTGAGAGCAAAGAAATGAAGGCATTTACTCTTACCTTGAAGGTATTCATTGTGCACTGGACAAGGGATATAATTCATTGCAACGAGATGTTCGGCAATAATGTTAACATGAGTATGGGATGCTGCAGAAGAGCAAGAGAGATGCCAGCCTCGAGCCTAGTTGCTGTTCTTTAACACAATGAAATTTACTTCTCTCAATGACATTAAGTAACCAGAGACAGGTAGATGTCAAATGCGATTTCCATAGTTCATCTTGCAGTACATAAATAATAGTAGATAAAAGATAACCATGAAATGTAACTCTTCCAATGAAATTTGGCAGCAATAAGGTGTTGAGCTTAAACCTAGGAGTGTTTTAGTGACCCCAATGGGAATAACACAGCAGAAATCTCTTTGTGGGCAATGAAAAAACTGTTACTGTCCAATCACCATCTATTTGTCTTAGATCACTGACTGAATTCTCTAAACTTCAATTTATTCATATGCAAACTATAGCTAATGCTAATTTACTCAAAGAATTATTAAATATTTATATAGCACTTACTAAATTTCTCTAGACTGTCATAAAGGATTAAAATGTGACAGTAGCGATCTAGTTGCAGATCAAGGCAGAGATTCCAAAGTATGATACACAGTCCTTGGTGGGGAATGATGCCGTTGTCTGATGTCAGTGAATCTCAGGAACCAGGCTGGGGATAAAGGCAGAGATGTGATAATGATGATGGTGGTGGGTGGTGACAATGAAGGTGATAATTTCTATAGTTCCCTCCAAAGCTCAGGATATTAATTGCTCAACTAAGTTTTTGATTTCTCAGAAACAGATAAAATAGTTATTGTAATCTTGAAAGTCTGCTTAGGAAATAATACAGTTTGAGTTGACCTGAAATTTGAATGGATCGTCCCTCCCTCCCTCTAAAAGAAGTCAGATTCTTGAATGTCTTACTTGGTCTACATGAACCCATGCGAAAATTGCATCTTCCCAGGGAGCAACTTCTCTACTCACACTGTAAAATGTGTAGTGCTAAGTATCCTACAACCATTAAATCAGAAGTGAAAATCAGTGAGCAGTGAGGGGCCTAGAACAGGAGGTGAGGTGGGGGGGGAGCAGTGGACATGGGACATGGGACACAGTTCATGGAAGCAGAAAGAGCTTGAAGATGATGAGAAAATGTGCTTGGCAGTGGTAATCTTGGTCACAGTAACTTTAGAGTATATAGAAAGCTCACCAGGGTCATGGCAGGAAAATGGGAAGTTAAGAATGGTTCAAAAAGAGCTAAAGGCTAAATATGCCACAGATGAGAAGTCATGAAGCAAAAGATACTTGGGAAACTGAGGAAGGAGACTAGAAAGTATCTATAAATCAAGGAAAAATCAGAGCAAAGGGATAGCATTCCCTGACAATGTCATACACACGTAGCCTTTCTAGCTCAAATGGAAGAGGTACAGACAAAGACAAAATATAACCTAAGATCAGAGGACATGGGTAGGTTGGGGAACAAGGGCAACCTTCTAGCACAAAGCACTCTGAGGGCTTCAGTTACCAGATAAAATATGCTGTGAAAACTGAGTGTTTAGCAGTACTAATGATAGAGTAGTTGTCTAGATGTAGAGTCTCTGTTTCTTCACTGAGATTTTAAAGCCCTTCTCTATGACCAGAACAATACCCCTCAATGCCAGAGCAAGTCAGAGGTTGCTGACAGAGCTGTTCATTGTGACAACAGAAAAGAACAATGGAGGAAAAATAAGTTTCTTGTGTTTGGTAGTTTTTAGTTTTCGAGCATTCACAAAATGTTCAACTAAGGAAGTTGAACTCAAATGCTGTTAGTGACTAAAAATAACTGAAAACATTTTAAGTATATAAAACTTTGTTTTGTTTTGCTTTTTTCGGTCTTTTTGAGACAGGGTCTCCCTGTAGCCCCAGCTGACCTGGAACTCAATATGTAGACTAGGCTGGCCTTGAACTCACAGGGATCCGCCTGCCTCTGCCTCTGAGTGCTGGGATTAAAGGCGTGTGCCAGCATACCCATTTTTAAAGAACATCAAGAAATTATCATTCCTGTACTCAAAGATAATCTCTGCTATAATTTTCATGTATTTGTCATGTAGTTGAAATACTGTGTTCTCTTTATATTGCCCTTAATAAAAGGGTAGTATTTCCACAATGCTTTTGAGTTTCAAAGCCCTGTCTCGTTCGTTACTTCATTTTATTCCTCAATACCTCTGCAAACAAAGGAAAACAATATACCCAGGCATATCTTCAGATGTACAAATGGACTAGTGACTTGATTAAGGTCTTAAAACCACTTGTAGAGTCAAAGCCAAATGACCTTACTGTAAGTCCAAACCAGTTCTAGCATCTCATTAAGCACTAAGGTAAGATCTTAGATATTAATCTTGTCCTATCTGGTTTCCTACACTTTGTGTTTTGTTTATACTTCATAATGGTTCAGCTCTGGGTAAAATTACAGAATTTTTTTTCTGCATCCTACCTCCCTTTAAGCTAAAAGAAAGCTAAACTGTGGGATGAGCAAAAGGTTTGGGTTCAGGCCAACATGGACTTCAGTCTCAGCTCTAAGACTATGCAGCTGCCACCAACATACTGATCAGCAACAGTACTTCGCCTTCGCTTTTCTAATCTTCAAAGTGAAATAGTTATTTTGAAGCGTTTTAAGTTGGTTATTGTGGCAACAAATACATAACATCTGGTATGGCATCTGGCACATGGTAGACCTTCAATAATCATTGCGTTTTTGCTTGTCGTTTTCACACCATTATGTAACCACACTTGTTTCCAGAAGGTGTCATTGCCTCCATTTTGCAGATGAGCTATGAGAAAAGTTAGGACAATTTCCTACAGCTAAGGAAAGATGGAATTAGACCTCCTAAGGCTTTATCACAGACACTTTTGTTGGCCTGTGCTAAAAGGCTGAGCCAGCCTCTGATTTCATCCACTGCTATAGTAGATGGGCCCTGCCTGCAGTCCACTCCAGCACCTAGGGTGTCCTGTATGTCATTCCTCTTTTCTCTCTCAATTTCCCCTCTAAAGTCCTCAAGAGTTCCCAAGAAAGAAAGTTCTGGGAGTACACCAGTATTAAAAATCCTTAAGGGTACCTGTCAACAAATAATGGGTAACATGTAGATAAATGACTCTCTTCTTTCAAGCAGATAATTCTGAAATGCAGAACTTGAGCCATCACCCTACCTTGTTCTTTCCTCCTCTGTGACATTCACTTCCTCAATCCTGCTTTTTGGTTTCACCTCCCAAATAAACAACCTGCAAAGAAATGCAGTCTCAGTCTACAGTTTGGGAAATAAAGATTTGGGTGGGAATTGGAGGGCCTGGGGAGGGGTAGTAATCTTGTTTTGTTTCCTTTTGTGTTTGTACTGCATTTCTCTCTGTTTCTCCGTAGGTCACCAAGATGCTTGCAGTTGTTGTAATTCTGTTTGCCCTTTTATGGATGCCCTACAGGACTCTTGTGGTTGTCAACTCATTCCTCTCCAGCCCTTTCCAAGAAAATTGGTTCTTGCTCTTTTGCAGAATTTGCATTTATCTCAACAGCGCCATCAACCCAGTGATTTACAATCTCATGTCCCAGAAATTCCGTGCAGCCTTCAGAAAGCTCTGCAACTGCAAGCAGAAGCCAACAGAAAAACCTACTAACTACAGCGTGGCTCTCAATTACAGCGTCATCAAGGAGTCAGACCATTTTAGCACAGAGCTAGATGACATCACCATCACTGACACCTATATGTCTGCCACAAAAGTGTCATTTAATGACACCTGCGTGGCATCTGAGGTAACCTTTAGCCAGAGTTGATTAATGAATTAGAAAGAAATTGACCACAGTGGATAAGAATCTGTGCACTTATCCACAAAGCCAATACTTACATGTGAAGACAGAGCAGAGGCATGGCCCCTACTCTTGCAAGTCTTGGCCCTAAATACTTTAACCCAGGAGGTTGGTTTAAATTTCCTTCTTACCAACCTAGTATCACAAAAATGAGACCTATCTCTGGAAGACCTTGCTGGTGGAAACTAAAAATATAGTCTTTCTCATTTCATGTGGGAAATCACTATATTTTCTGGGGTAATGACATTTCAGTAAAATTCAGACATAGATTTAAGTCATTCATAATAACCTTATCAAATGTAATTTCACACACACTCCAAGTATCTATGTATTTGGTAATTTGGCAACATGTAGAGTTTTAAATAATTTAATATTTCATTTTAGCAAAAGGTAGTGCTATTTTGTGAATATCTAGACTGTGTGAAAAACTAAAAGTAAATTTTATTTGTTGAGTACAAATGAGATTTCAAACAAACATGTTTTGCTTTCGTAAAAGGTTTTCATAATGCTTACAATAATCAGAGATAGCTTTTCTATCTTACAAAGTAGATAGCCATTCAACTATAATGTAAAATAAAACTAAAATTATAAACTGGAGAAATATGCTGATTTGATTCTGAAGTGAATCCTGGTTTTACCAACTCTTTAAGTTTCCTAAGAGATGGATAGGACAAAGGCATAACTATCTGAAATTTCTATGAAGATACCAGCTAACATACAATGAATCTTGCAATATGTAGACAACATAAGGCTTAATATTTAAAGCATGGTTTTACCATTTCTCTGAAACTTTAAAGGAAGAAATTCTTTTGAACATTCTTGCTCATAAACTACTGAGCCATGTCAAATGACTCCTTCCAGCTTAAAAGTTTGCAAACCCCTTTGATGTTTCTCTGTTACTCTAAATCGACCAGATTCTGGCTATGAACTTCAAGATGAAGACCTCCCAGTGAACCTTGTCCTGTGTGGATTTTGACATGCCTGTAATTATCTTTCCTTTTTCCCTGCTTGTCATATGTGTGGGTTCATTTTTTTAAAGTAGTCATATTTTGTTTATAGATTCTAAATCAAAGTATTGCAGCTCTGCTGGATTTAATTTTAATACACAAACTGATTTCATCCTATTATCAGTATCTCATCTATCTAGTTTTAACTTTGACCTTCTGGTCATTATTAGACAGGTATGAATGCACATCTACCCAGGACATTTTTCAGGTCCTGTTTTAACCCCCTCCAAATGACTCAGCCACCAAGGTTTAGCCAGTCAGATCTCCAGAGGTATAAATTGCCCTTGATGAAAGCTTAGTGATTGTACTTATATGAGGTTTAGCCTTATCTACCACGGGAAGATAGTTTTTTTGTTTTTCTCCCACCATATGAGAAAACAGAGATAATCAAATATTTAAAAGTACATAAGTCTATCTGCATGGCATGAAGCAATGTATTTAAACTGAATTTTCATTTTGGGTTAAATATTATTCTAGGAGTTATATGAATAGGGCACTAGAATGATCCTAGAATGATCCAACTTCAAATCATGTAAGTGTAGGCTCAAGTCCAAATAAACATGTACCCACATGTACTTAAATTGATGTACAAAGAGAATTGGAATATATTAGACCTTTTGCATTAGGGAAAAGAACTAATATCAAAAAGTATCCAGCACACCTCAGGCATGCTGGTAGGTACTATATTTAACCACCGCTGTCTTCACCACAGCGTCTTGACAGCTGCAATTTCTTTGATGATGAGACCAGGAAACAAGTATCCATGCTGTTTTCCTAGACAGTGTGACCACTAAAGGAAGAAAATATGAAGGGGTTTTCTTTTGCAAAGCTGGCCTTCTAACAAAATTCTTATGACCCAATGGCCACACACACATAATTTCAGATATTGAAAAATGTATTTCACATAATGCACGCAGGGCTTATGTGTATGGGCTCAGTTTTCCCATTTTAATTTTTGAAATGTTGTTTGTTATTAATCTGTTAGTTTTAGACCACATGGGAGATTCAAAAGAATTCACCTCATAGTGTTTCAGCTCTAAGCAAATACCATTGGAAAATGAAATGTTCCTATGTAATGTCCAACAAATAATTGAATTTACACAAAGGAAGTATAGCTTTATAAAGTATTTGATATCATGGTACATTAACTTACAAAATATGTCTTTAAATGATCGAAACAGCATATCATCAAATGAGAACTGAAGCTAAATTAAAATGTGCTGGTGAAGTAAAGTGAACTTATTAAGAAACTCCCTTAATAAAATTCTTCGCGTTATTTTATTACTTCCAATTTTATTAATTGCTGAGGGCCTTTGGTTAGGTTACACACCTGAGGAAAGTGGGCAAAAGTGAATGCATAAAACAAGCAAACAAATTCCCTTTTAGAATTTCTTCCTCAGTGTGGTGAATATATTTCTAAAGTTTAGCACAGAATAAATATTCTATATATAGAAGATGAATAGAAAAAATTCAAATTCTCTAAATACTTTTAAGTAAATGAAATGCACAGAACCATACATCTTAAAAATTTACCAAAAGAAATGGATGAGATTTGATAAGGACAAAGAAGAAACTGTAGTTAGAATTTAATTTGGTATAACTAAGTCTTAAGTGGATATTAGAGTTGCTTCATTTTCAGAGTATGTTGAATCACAGGACAGTATGTTTCAGTAAAGCAAGGGCTATGCTCTTCTGGCCTCTCCTTCAAAAATATTAATGATGTCATGCTAAACTACTTTAAATCTGTAAAAATTATAAAGTAATAAAAAATAGAAAGAAAATATTTTAAATCATTAACCCATGAGTCTATGAATTTTACAAATATCATAGCCAATATTATTTTTGCCTCTCAATTCAACTCCCACAGGGGTTGGAATATTATATGTCAAGTCAGGAGACCAAATGTGAGTAACAGAGCACTCAGAAACCTAGTCAACCTCAAGTTCAAGAAACATGTTTCAAATGCTTGGAATCACTCACTGGCTCGGAAGACACAAACATGAGAATCTCTAGCAATTTATTTTCTATTTCTTTAGCTGGTAACCACCAGAACCAAAATTAAACTGAGAAAATATAAATTTTACGCTAACACATATGAAGAAATTTACAGAACCCTCTATTGATAATTTTTTGTCTTTCCCTCCTTTCAAACTCTCATCCCTCCTCAGAGCAGGGAGACTCCTCTAACCTCCTGAAAGTAAACTTGAACCTGAAGTATTTGTAAAAGTACAAATGTTATGTCAAGTATACTTATGTATAATAAAATGGTATAAAATGATCATTTTTTTATAAAAAATCCCTTTTAAATAACAGAAAAACTGGTCTGATGATTCTTAAATCCTGTTTTAACTTTGTCATGATTCATATGGCAGGACTCATGTTCAGAGCTGAGCTACTTTATGTGGATTTTTTTTTTTCTCACAGAGCAGAGGTTTGACATTTCATAAGCTTCAGTCAGAAGCCAACAAAAGAACATTCAATGTATGTACAACTCTTGCTAGAATTTGTTGAAAGAAATAAGACTCTTCCCATTCTTACCATTGAGCAGGAACAGGCTCAGATAATATGACTTCAAGATGCAACTCTTAGGCAACATTAAAAATACAAATTAGACACATCAAAAATATGTCATAGTGCAACTTTTAAGTTACCTGCAAATGTTTTAAGGTGACTTAATATAAGAATTATTTACATATTCTGATTATATTTTATGAACTCTGATTAGGAATAACAACTATTTTAATTCTTAACTTCCACTTATAACACACAAGAAGAAACAAAACCAAAGAAGATCCTGTAATTTTTTGTTGTATGTTTAGTTCATAATTATAATCTTAAATTATCCAACAACTGATGTTTTCAGGAGGGCTGTACATTGAGGAGTAATTCATCATTAAGATGGTTAGCACCAAATGAACTGTACTGATAAGTTTAATCTATATGGTTCTGAGTGCAAAACTCAAATGATCTCCTTTGACAAGACAGATCATGGATGTTTGCACTCAGTGTTCTCAGGGCAAACAAGATATAAATAGTATTCTCTTATACCAAGAAAATTCATGGCAACCCAACAGAGGGTGATTAATTCATGTTTTAAGAATTATATCTAGAAAATGAAAAAAAGCTTGAATATGTAATGCAAATTAAGATGGCACATTGTCCAAAACTATGTTGATCTAGCAAGCCAATAAAAAAAATTTAGTGGCCAATAAACCACATGTTGGCATAGTGGCTGTACGTCCTGATGGAGGTGTATATATACTATAGACTCTCAACTGGAATAATGGAAATGTGAAGCTCTTTGGAAGTTCTAAGTGAAGAGATGGGGTAATCAGTAGAGTTAGCTAGCAGTCCTGAAAGTCTACAAGTGAATATTTCCTTCTTTACAGACCGTTGGACTCCATTCTTTTGCATGTGCCTATTCTGTGCCAAACAAGAGCAAGTAAGAGCTTCCTCAACAATGTCTTGGACTAGTAGTGATAAAGATGAAGTCTTACCAGAAATGAAAACAAATATAATATGACCCAGAGCAAGGTTTCACCTAACCAACGATCTACATTCAGAGCCAATAAGGACATTATGTTGCTGAAGTGAAATAGGATGCCCCAGTAAGGAAGAAAATATTTAATCTCTATTCATGAATAATGAGCCACCTGTGCTTTGATATACATAAAAATTATTGAGGAGTTTATCTTAATATGTGCTTTGTATCTAACTCAAAAAATTTTCATTTTTGGTTGATTTTGATGCTTATGGTTTTCTGAGCACACCTTGAAAATCACCTAATCCTGAACCTGTATATAGAACCATCAAGACCTTTGGTAATCAAACAACTCTTAATAAGCAAATAACGAGAAAATTCCTTGAAGGCAAATCCATTTCATCTCTGTATTTCACAAATTAAATTTAGATGGTGACCTTAACTTTCTGTTAAAATGAATGAATAAGTAAATCAATGACTCTCCAACTAAGAAATATTAATCTAAAATCCTCATGATGCCTAGATTGCCCACAGATTTATCTTCACAATTATATAACTCGTTTACTTCTGTTTTGTTGTTTTAAACTGTTCTCTTGGCTCACTGAAAAGTACTACATTGTATCAAATGTTTGCCAGAACTAACTCTTATGTATATATCATGAGAGAAAATTCCAACAGCACTCACATCTGTCACCTAATTTAATGATGAGAAATAAAGGTTAAAAAAACTTCCTCTGTGTTCAGGAGGTTACATTTTAATGATTGAAACATTCAGTAAAAGCAAAACATGTAGAAAACCAAATTGTGTGATTGCAGACAG